AACTAATGTTAATAATGTCATGACCAATTTCTTGCATTATTTCGTTGAGTCCACAATGTATCGATTCGGTATAATTAGTTTCATTTCTTGTTAATTCTAAAAAAAGAAAGACTAAAAATAAAAAAATCAAAATTCATAATTATTAAATCATATTTTTATTACTTCGCTTTTTAGGTAATTCTCTCTCAACCTCTTCATCTTCACTCTCATCAATGTTATAAATGTGCACTATATTCTCATAAATGTTATAGCCATTTTTCCCGTTCTTATCAATGTCATAATTGTGCTTTCCTTTTTCTTTATCCTCTTTCTCCTCGTCTTTACTCTCATCGACGTTATCTTTCTCCATTTCACCTTCGTTTTTCTTCGCCTTTTTCGAAAGAAGTATATCAGCTGATGTCTGTATTGCACTGTAAAATTTGATATGAATAAAAAATTAAAGTCAAGTTTTAAATATTATGCAAATTTATGATACAATTACCCAAGTGATGGTGTGAAGAATGGATTAGGCGATCCAGCTGGATGAGATTCTTGGGGCATTTGTTGGCACGATGCCACATGTTGTGGAGATGTCATATAAAGTTGCATAAGTTGTCTAATTAATTCAGGATAATTAGCCATCATAGTATTCTGAGGATTTATTGGAAGTATAAAATTTGATGCAGGCATGTTTGAAGATGACATATAAAGTTGTGTAAGTCGTCTAATTAATTCCGAATGATTAGCTGTTGAAGTATTTTGAGCATTTGCTGTAAACACAGAAGTTGATGTTTGCATGTTCGGGGATATCATATAAAGTTGAGTAAGTTGTCTAATTAATTCTGCATAATTAACTGTCGATGCATTATGAGGATTTGCTGAAAACATAAAACTTAATGCCTGCATGTTTGGAGATGTCATATAAAGTTGCGTAAGTTGTTTAATTAACTCCGGATAATTAGCCGTCGATGCATCTTGAGGATTTGCTGGAAACATAAAATTTGGTGCCGGCATGTTTGAGGATGTTGTTGTTGAGCTAGATGAATCAGTTGTTGGTGAATTAGTCATTGAAGTTCCTTTATTTGGTGTCCCTGTTGTTTCTTGTTCTAGAAATAAAAATTTTAAGTAAAAAATTTTTAGTGAACAAAAACCGAAAATTAAATTAAAATTTACCCATATTAATATGAGCGTTTTACATATAAAATTTTTTTTAGAGGAAGAAAAAATTGCACTTATATATTCATTAGAGTGTCATGAAAAAAGTCTAAATAATAGGTATACAGTATCTACGTCATTGGGTTATATCTCAATTTAAAGACGACTTTACAATGGAATACGTATAACCCAGTGACGTAGATATTTCTATAGTTTATCCAGATATTATTGATATTACTGTATTATTTAATCTTAACAAATAGTTTGAAATTAGATAAATAAATATTAATCAAAAATAAGTTCAAAGACCGCGCCTAGCGAATTGACTCAATAAAAATATTTTTGATATCGCAATTATAATGCTGTACAATGTAACTTATGCTGCTTAAACTGGTTAGTGCTTCAAACCCGATTGAACACTGTTCTAAAGTGCATACGTACATAAAGCCAGTTTTCAAAATAATACACTGGTATTTATGTTTGCTGGAGCATATTAGTAGAATACATTAAATTTATATTCTCATAAATGTTTTTTTTTTTATAATTTGGTAACGTTTTATACTATCTACGCGGATGATTTTGCCTAAAATAAAAAGGCCAAATCTATTGCTATTGAGTTAACTTGTGGCATTACCACTATAACCATTTTCAATAAGCTTATTCTAAAGTGATAATTTATACTTCTAATGCGTTTTAAATATTGTTAAATGAAATTTCTAATGTGCTTTAAATATTTTAAATGAATTTTCATCATATGTCGCTGTTGAATTATAAATTTAAAAATATAAATATTTACTAATTTAATATAACATCGTGGAATTAATTTTATTTAAAATTTTACAAATTATGAAACTTTCTACTCGAAAAACTGATTTCCGAACTCAATTCAAGCATAAGTTTTAAATTTTATAATAAAGATCGCGGTTGTAAAACTTGTGCTTAACTGGTTTGGTTTTGAACAAGGCCGAACTGAGTTTATATGAGCAGGATTACATCCTGCACTATAACTATTAAACCTAATTTTCACCATATACTAAATATTAAGCTAAGATTTATGTCATCCAACACTTCAAAATCACTTAGTCAAATGAATAAAGGAATTAGTTATCGGTAAAATGAAGGAAATTCTATTAATTTACCTCGACCTGTTTATTATGGATGACTTTAGCATAAAACAAATTTGGTTTATATTAACATAAAACGAGCTCGTTTTATGCTAAACTTGGATAAGTTGAATTTATTTTAGCCTAAGCTTAGGATAAGTTAGAGTTTTGATCCAGTTACCCGTTGGATACAAATTTAATAGTGAAATCCGTTGGATATCCGTTAAATTTAATATGAAAACGGATAACCGGATCCAAACTCTAGGATAAGTCGAATTAATTTTATTCCAAGCATAGTACTGATTGATCAAATTTATGTAAAGTATATCATATGCATCTCTTGAAATGTATCTCTTGAAATGTGTGCCAGGTAATTGGCGTAGTAATCAACCACAATAATCTGCGGTCAAAAATTTCTACGTTTCTTGGCTTCGCTGATGTCATGCACTTTGTAGATTAAATTTTCTTTTAATTTGTAAATTGAATATACTGTACTATAACAGAATCATTGATTTGCATATGTCAAACATTATTACAATAATTTCGAAAGTACGTGTAGTTAGCAAAGCTTATAAAATTTAGCTTTGAAAGTGAATCCCCTAACGGTTAGGTTAGAATGAAGAAATACTGTGTGGAAATCTTTGTTTAAATATTTTTTTTTTTACAAGCTGTACAATATATTTCACGTATTTAATTAGAAACCTGTTCATTCTGAACCGTAAAAAAATTTGAAATCATGAAAATATGACGAAACAAAGAAAAATATTTTTTCGAAAATATGAGTAGAAACAATTTTTTTTATGCGTCTTTGAAAAATGACGTTTCGTTTTATTTAAAATTTATAATTTTACTAATTAATACGCACTAACTTGGCACACATTTGAAGGATGCTACATTGAAATAGATTTATTATTTGGAATCAAACCTTTTTTTGGAAATTTAGTGTTTGTATTTAAAGTTTAAATTTGGACTATTCAGATAAATTGGTTTACACTTCAGAACTAATTTATATTTCATAATTAACATTTAATTTCATCAATATTTCTATTTATCATAATGAAAAGCAAAAACAATATCTTTTCTAATTTTTTTCAAAATCTTTTTCCACGTATATATAATCTTGTCATACGCTGATTCATCATCATCATCATCAAAGTAAAAAGCCAAACTAGTTAAATATACATTCGTGTGTAAAGCTTTAGCGAATTCTTTCATAATATCTTCACCATCAGGAGGACAAATACTAATATCTAATGATTCTAAGGATGAATTTGATCGAAGTGCCTGCGATAATGCTTTTCCTTCATCAACATTAATAAAATTATAAAGAATATTTAAAGAGGTAAGTGTTGAGTTTTCACAAAGAGATTTCGCTAAATTTTCTATTCCTTCACGGCAAAGTCCATTAGAAGCAATATTTAAAGATCTGAAGCCGATATTATTACAAAGAACATTTGCTAATGCTTTCCTCCTTCAATACCAAGTTGATTATCATTAAGATTCAAAGAAGTCAAAGAGGTATTTTTACAAAGTGCAACTGCCAATAACTTCATTCCTTCAACGCCAAGTTGATCATTTTCAAGGTTTAAATGGGTCAGAGATGTGTTTTCACAAAGTGCATCTGCCAATACTTTAACTCCTTCAACTCCAATCTGATTACATTGAAAATCTAAAGATGTAAGCGTAATATTTTTGCGAAGGGCTTCTGCAATTACTTTTCCTCCCTCAGCGCCAAAGTAATTACTACCAAGGTCTAATGAAGTCAGAGATGTGTTATTGCAAAGAGCTTCTGCCAGTATTTTTAAATTCTCAACACCAAGCTGACTACAATGAAGATTCAAAGATGTTAGAGTAGAGTTTTTAAAAAGAACATTTGCTAAAGCTTTCCCATCCTCATCATTAAGATTACTATAATAAAAACTCAAAGATGAAAGAGTAGTATTTTCGTAAAGTGCCTTAGCTATCAATTTTCCAATTTCAGGAATATTGTTATACGTAAAACTTAAGTTTTGAGTGTGGTATTTTTGGAAATAGCATCTGCTATTGCCTTTACTTCATCAAAACCAAGGCCAAGAGAATCTAAATTAATGTTGTTAATAGTTGTATTTTTATAAAGGGTTTCTACTAAAGTTTTTGTAAATATACTATAATCATGACCTTGAAAGGTTATAAATTTAAGCTTTTTACTTGTTCGTAAAAACATTACAATCAACGAACATTTGATTATTTGAATTATATTCTTATGATATTTATAATCATAATTTGCTGAATTATGAAGTCTACGACCTTCATTATCAATCCAATTTTCTATTGATCTGCGAAGAAAACTGTCTTCACAACCGACAATAAAAGTAGCATAATTAATCAATGGTTTCGGTCCATTTGGAAGTATTATTTTTAATGGAATTAACGAAGCTTGTTCTTCAGCATTTAATAACGAGAGGTATATACTTATAATTCTTGCATCATCAAAATATCTTAGAGGGTTACCCCATAATATTGGTGTAAAAAATCTAAACCATTGACGATTTACTAGTAGAAAAGAAAATATGCTTTTAAATTGTAGATGTTTAAATATTTCATGAAAACATTCGTTTGGCAATGATATCATTTTGAATTTGAGAAAAAAAAATTGATTACAGTATTGACGATTTATATAATTATGAGGGGGAATTAAGCCTGACGCATGACGTAATTCATGCTAAGGTTATTATCGCGAGGATCTTCACATGTGAAAGCCAAGGGCGTAATGACAGCTTTCAGTTACTGTTTAAGCTAGGTGTGAAAACTAAGGATTAAATGCATTGAGTATATAAGTTAAGGGGGCTGAATTGTAATCGACAGAGCTTTTTTCTTTCGCTGCCTGACATTAGTCTGGCTCTTTCGTAGTGTCCCTCCCAGGCCCCCCCGAAAAAAAAAAAAAAAAAAAAAATTTTTTTGAGTTAGAAATATAAAGAAAGGAGTGAGTAGCTCGGGGGCATGCTTACCAACATGTGAAGGAAATGCTTGGTGACTAGCTCCCTGACGCTCACTAAGTAATAATAATAGTAATGCTGTAGCATATCTTGTTTATATGCGATTCTCTTCTTTTTCGCCACGTGATTGTGAATAGTTGGACAAAGTATTATGTTTAATAGCCCTATAAATGTAGGTTCGGGACATGTAAAGTGTGGGACATGTAAAGACAGAGCCGCAGCGCGGCACTACTCCCATAGTGTTTTTTCAATAAACAGATCCGAGCGAGAATAAATTCTTTTTACGTATAGAAAAGCAGGACAATTACACAAAATCAGGATCTGCAACAATAAAATTACCAATTCTGTAAAATTCATTATTTTGCTAAATATTCCGTGCTAGTGCTATTTAAGCGATTTGTTTTTTATTTTTTTTATTTTTTGTATCCAACGGGTAACCGGTTCCAAACTCTAAATGAATTTTGTGAATCCTACGGATCCTATATATTACTTCGCATTGTTTTAATAACGATAACATGTAAGATTCATAAGTATGTACGTTGTAAAAGTGAGAAATAATAAGTGGCAATCAACTAACTAAAAATATAACCAACAAACACTAGAATCTATAAACTAATAAGAGCAAGCAGATTTGGTCCGAGTTTTCTAGAGCATGGATCTTGGGGAAATAATACCTGCGTCTTAAATAAGTCTTCTTTTACTTTTATCGGAAGTTTACTTGATTTGGACTGTATAATTCTAGCACCAACACTTCTATTTTCCTCTTGTTTTTCGTATACTGCCTTCTTTTGGGGTCACGTGTCACGAGACTTCGGTAATTGAATTTATCAACGAAAAAGTTTAACAATGTAGGAATGACGAAATTAGATCAGAGTTTGTTATAAAAAGGGTCTTTATTAGACGCTTTTTTTCTTTGCTTTCACAACATAAAAAGGCGATTTATC